AAAAGGAAATGGACCAAATGAGAACAAACTTAACAGTTGGTTACCCTCTTGAGTCATTTTCCCCGAAAAGTTAATTGAAATTAAAGTTGCAAAATTATCAAAGACTACAACCTTCTTTGGCTATAACGTATATGAAGAGCGTTTCAGATGGGTAACTTCGTTAAAACATGGTCTATGTTATGCTTACTGTGGTTAGCTGTCAACACCTCTCTTCAAAATGATATGATTGTGTATGAAAGGTATATTTATCAACATAAACGTTTACCTCAAGGTATATTATGATGATATATCTGCAAAAGCAACATGATATTATACATATTGATGTTGTATCTCATCCATGAATTCGGTCTTAAAGCTAAGTAAACTAAAAAATCACAACACTTGTGATCCCACTCGTTTGTAGACTTGTCTAAAATCCATGATACGATAAATCATTCGATTAGAAATGTAAATGTAGTCATTAAATGCGTCTACTTAGTCAAGGTTCCCTAATAAATATTCAAGGGCATTACCAAGTTGTACATGTATGAATAGTGTTCTTTCGTGGGTTATGTTTTGAAGAGAAGCAATAATGAATCTCATAAAGTCATTAATATCAGTAGGAGATGATGTACGATTTGTTGTAAATGAGTAAAGGGAAAATGACTCAGGAAGGTAACCAACTGTTGAGTTTGTCCTCATTTGGTCCCTTTCCTTTTTTTGTACTTAATATACCATTGAACTTATTGTTTGTGTTCACCATAACCCTTTGACCGACTATCACAGGTCAAAAGCCGGTCAAAAGGGTTATGATGAACACAAACAACAAGTTCGATGACAATTGAATACAAAAAAAAAAAAAAGGAAATTGACCAAATGAGTACAAACGCAAAAGTTAATTACCCTCAAGAGTCATTTTCCCTTATTGATATTATCATATGTTAAATAAATGCACCCATTTGACATTTTATGAATATTTTCATTAAAAATCAATCAATCCTAAACTATTTATAATTTACTTTTTGGAAAAACAATGCAAAATCAACCAATAAAAAAATCTTAAAAATTAAATAGGGTGTTTAAATGGAAAAATAAAATATCTTTTTAGCCAACCCCTAAATAAATAAAACGAATGAGAAATTTTAATAAAATGTGAGATAAATCATAAATGCCAACCCCTAAATAAATAAAACGAATGAGAAATTTTAATAAAATGTGAGATAAATCATAAATGAGAAGGGTAGTTGAGACTCAGTCGGAGATATTATCATATGTGAAATAAATAAATCTGAATGAGAAGTTTTAATAAAATACGACATAAATCATTAATGAGAAGGGTAGTTGACACTTGAGACATGGATATTATCATATTCATTTGTGAAATAAATAAAACGAATGAGAATTTTTAATAAAATGTGAGATAAATCATAAATGAGAAGGTTCGATGCGAATTATACTTGAGACACGGTCATAGTCAAAAAGTCAAAATGCCAAAATAGCATGGTACGTACAATGTATACATGGCAATTAAATGTGTCTTTACTCTTCAAGATGGATGTCCTTAGTCTGTCTTTACTATTTTCACCAGTATAGAACATGGATGTGTACCTCGGCTCTTTATTGCAAATACACACAATGATGTAGTGAGAGATAATAGTCAACAGGTCAATATGTGTAAATGAGATGTTGAAAACTCAAGATAACTCTTAGTCATATTTTAAATTCCCACTTGATTCTTAAGAAAAAAAAAATCTAACTTCTTAAACCATTTAGTTGATCTTATCCATAGAGAACGTACATTCTTGGGTTTTGGTCTTAAATTCTTTTAAATTACCAGGTATAATATCAATGGTGGATGCATAATGTTTTAATAGGAATGATATCTAAATTTTTTTTGAACAAATCTAAATTAATAGTAACATTCGTATTTTAAGTTGGTGTACCTCATAAAAAAAAATTACATTATCTGTCGGAATCGAAGCAGTGATCAATGACCTTCCGGACTCCACTAATGCCCGCCAGTGTAGAACATGAATCCGATTTTGTTTGGAGTAAAAAATTATATGTTTTAAAAAACATCTCTTTTTTTTTCTATTTAATTTTCTGTCCATAATTTTTTTAATTAACAATATTATATAGTATTTCCATTTTTTGGGCTGCCTAATATTTCTATTAACCAAATATTTGAGGGCCGCCTGGGGCAGCAGCATTGAACCTTGTCATTGTCGATTTCCAAGCAAAACGAAAGACAACTCGATGGTAATAAACATAAAAAGTACCTTCAAATGTCTCAATAAAATGAAACCTAGGGATGATCATAGGTATTGTTTTTGGCCAAAACCGAATTGCAAAATGTAAATATATTTTTTATAATAATTATATAAACCAAGCAGTGCAATTTTTATGTGTTGTGGTTTTTACGGTTTTTTATGAGGTGCGACTTTTTAAGTTGCAGTTCGATTTTAAATCACATATTTTTTTTACGGTTTTTGTTGGCATAGTTTTAAACTGTGCAACTTTGGTGTGGGTTTTCAGAGACAAAGTGTGTAACAAAAACAAACATTAAGGAACCTTCCGAGTTAAAAAAATAAGTTAGTGACCAAATGCACAAATTACCTTACACCATAGGGACCATTCGTGTAATTTACTCTTAGTTTTATTTCGGTATGTTATTTTGGAATAAAACAAAAAAAATGTTATGATTGACAATTGTAAAATGGTACTGTAAACGAACCGAACAAACATGAACGGGGCTTGTTATGTTAGTTTATTTAAGTTAACCAAACAAATAAACGAACGCGAACGGATAAACGAACAAGATTTCTTGTTCATGTTCGTTCGTTTAACAAATTACATTGTTCATGTTCGTTCGTTTATGTTCGTGAACATGCTAAACGAACATAAACAGACGAACATAAATATACAAAGATTAAAAAAACATAACTGAAGATATATGGACTTAAATGAACATATAATACACTAATATAATCAAACACAATTAGGCATATGTAAACATAAAATGAATTTATATGAACAAACATAAATGAAAGTAAAAAAAAACAACATAAACGAACGTTCATGAACATAATTGAACGAACGAGACCATTGTTCATATTCGTTCGTTTAACTAAACGAACGTAACATGTGTTCATGTTCGTTCGTTTATTAAATAAAAGAACAGAAACGAACTTCCTACCGAACGGTTCATGAACAGTTCGTTGAACGTTCAGTTCGTTTACAGCCCTAGGTATAACCAATAAATATTTAAGAGAATTGGATTTTGAGATAGAACTGAAGAATCGAAAATGTACATCATTCACTGTCTTTTTATTTATTTAATTTTTATTATTATTTGTTTTTTTTTTTTTTTTTGCAAATTTTGATTTGGATTTTCTTTTAGTTACTATATAGGGATAATTTCATATATGCCCTTCCTAAACATCAAAATATCATATTTACCCAACTTAATTTCTAAATATCATATTTACCCTTTATAAAATTTCTAAATATCATATTTACCCTTCATAAAATTTCAAAATATCATATATCTCCTTTTTAAACATCAAAATATCATATATAACCTTCTTAAATATCAAAATATCGTATATGTACATTTTAAACATCAAAATATCAATGGTAATATCTAAAATAACCTCTATCTACAACATGATAATAATCAACAACAACAAAAACTAAACAATCAATATATATATATATATATATATATATATATATATATATATATATATATATATATATATATATATATATATATAGGGTTGAAGATGAATTTTTTTGTTTGTCAAGAGGGCGACATTCCAACAATTTAGAAGTTCGCATTCCATTATCATAGACGTAAGGATAATATGGTTAATATTTTTAATTATTATAATAATTCTAAGGTATAAAGAATGATTGTAAAATATTAAAAACATTATAAAAAAAGGATTTGGGCAAATATGATATTTTGAAGGTTTATGAAGGGTAAATATGATATTGAGAAATTAAGTTGGGCAAATATGATATTTTGAAGTTTAAGAGGAGCATATATGAAATTTTCTCTTAATTTAATTGGCATAATTGAATACACTGTGTTTAGAATTCATTATTAATTATTAATCATATCCACATGACACATACGACATATCCACTTTTCATATAAACAACGAGTTCGAGTTTAATTTCTTGCCTTTTGCTACTCGCTTTGAAGATCAATTTCTAACTTTTGCTACTACTACACTAATTTATAAGGTAGCTTTTCATTTTTATTACATTTAATTTTTCTAGTAATTTGTAATTGATAAAATAATCAATTTGTAAGTAGCTACGTTAACTAATCGGGTATATATATATATATATATATATATATATATATATATATATATATATATATATATATATATATATATATATATATATATATATATATATATATATATATATATATATATATATATATATATATATATATCATGAGCCTTATGTATCTAAGTTCTAACAAATTATTAAAGATCAAGGTTAGATAAAGTTTTAATTCTTTTTGATTTTTTTCCTTTTAAATTTTAGACGGCTTTTATTAATATTATATTTTAATATTGGGTGTAAAATTATGGATTATATAAGTTAATTAACAAAAAATTAAATATAAATCTAAAGTTTGAAGAACTTTGATTTACAAGAAATTAAGAAAAATACTGAATTATTAAAATTGATTTTTTTTATCTTTTAAATTTAAATAAATAAACTAATGATTTTTAATTTGAGAATTTTGAAATAAGAAGGTAAGTCCGTTAATGAAATTTATATTCATTTATTACTAAATTCGTTATAATTATTACATTAAAATATTATATGAAATTTATTAAAATAGAAAACCAATAAAATGACATTTGAAAAAAAAAATTAATTTAAAATAAGCATAATGATATTTGATAAATTGAATGATAATAGTGTGATATGTGGCAAAAAAAACCATTTAAGTAGATTTTTAAAAGTATACTTATTAATAAATATAATTTTAAAAAACACTTGCTTGTCAAAAACTTTGTAGGGTGCCTTCATCGCTATGAGCCTTAGAGTTGCATACAAATTGGTGCAATCCGTAAGTGCTTATTGCTGCCTATATATAGAGCACAAGCAAACACCTTATGGATCATCCCTCTCATTTTTCAAATGGCCTCATACATGAATCTTCTCTCAGATCCAATCATCATAACAACAGTGACACCTATATTTTTACTCCTTGTTTTCCTATATGTCTACAAGCAACAACCAACAAATGGGAGGAAGTATTATCCGGTTGGAGGGAATGTATTTGGCATACTCATTAACTTCAACACGATGCATGATTACATGGCTCATCGAGCAGAAAAATACAAAACTTACAGAATGCTTAGCCCTTTGCATCGTGAAATTTATACAATTGATCCCGTGAATGTGGAATATATTCTCAAGACGAATTTCAAAAATTATGGAAAGGTATGTGTCGCTAGCTAATTCGAAATTATGTATTGTTTCACTTTAATATTAATTAATTAATGATTCATAGTGTTTAATTGTTGCCAAGTTTACTGTACTCTTTTTTAGTACTTGGTAATTAAGTAAGTTTTATAAGTGGGTGGAGGGATGGCACATGAGCCAATGATGCAGTTTTCTGATTTTTTTTTTTTTACTATTAATATATCTACCGTTTAAATAGATATTGTTGAGTTTCGTTTACACACTGAAATGTTGAAAATATGTTATATATGTAGGGAACATATACCCGCGACATTCTAAAGGAACTACTTGGTGATGGAATATTCACAGTCGATGGGGACAAATGGCGAGAACAAAGGAAGGTTTCGAGTCATGAGTTCTCTACGACAGTCTTAAGGGATTTTAGTAGTGTAATTTTCAGAAACAATACAATAAAACTGGGGAACATATTGTCAGAAGCAGCAAAGAACATGCAAATAGTCGATATAAACGTAAGTTACTCCTTTGCGCACTATTATTTGGTATGATTAACCTTCAAGAAACTCAATAGTGATTACAATATTCACGATACACATGTATATATACAGGATTTATTCTTGAAGACAACCATGGATTCAATATTTAATGTTGGTTTTGGGATTGATCTTGATAACATGAGTGGTTCTAGTGAAGAAGGTGTCAGATTCAGTCGTGCATTTGATGATGCGAACACCTTAACATATCGACGATTTGTTGACGTATTTTGGAAGATAAAGAAATATCTAAATATTGGCTCCGAAGCTGAGTTGAAGAAAAATATACAAGTCATTGATGAGTTCGTTTACAAGTTGATCCAGATCAAATCCGAAGAAATGCATAAGACAAAGAATGAGCATTCAGTCGTAAGCTTATATTTTCTTAACCATTAACGTTTTTAATTAAGGCTTGTTGAACAAATCATTGATAATTTAATTAATATTAACCGGAAATAGTTTACGGTATAAGTATGTTGGCATAAATCATGAAGACAACTATTAGATCACATTTCTTTACATATAAAAAAATATATCATATATTGTATGATGATATTGACGTAATTAATATATATGGTAGCTAGCTAGGAACATATTTTGCTCTTCTAATTCACTGTTTTGACCACTTTGTTTTACTTCACATGCAGTTCATAAAAAAAGACATTCTATCGAGGTTTCTTCAGATCAAAGATAAAGACCCAAAGTTCATACGGGATATAATACTAAACTTCGTACTTGCTGGTAAAGATCCCATAGGGCTTACTATGTCTTGGTTCATTTACATGCTTTGCAAGCATCCTGATGTTCAAGATAGGGTTGCAAAAGAAATCAAAGAAGCAACGAACGTAAAAGAAGACATCACAAATGTTGCAGATTTTGCTGCCCATGTGACTGAACTTGCGCTTGTGAAGATGCAATATCTTCATGCAGCTTTGACAGAAACTATCAGACTCTATCCTGCATTGCCATTGGTATGAAAATCTTGTTCATGACTTGTTTAATTTCTGATAAGTTGATAACTGTTTACTAAGGAGGAGCGCTTTTCAACATCCATGGTGGTGTTGCGTTAGGGAACACAAACAACAAGCAACACACAAATACACATTTAAGGCATGAGTAAACACGGTTTATAATTACATAAATTAAGGTTCCTTCATGTTGTTTGTTGAAGTTTTTGGCTATTAGATGTATTGTATCTCATCTTAATTGGTAGATAAGGAACATTTAATGAGTCTATCAAAACCACATGCATCTAAGTTTGAATTTTTACCTATGATATCCTAACAATATGGAGATGACATGATGACATGATGCATATTATTTATGTAGGACCCAAAGATATGCTTTTCAGATGATGTTCTACCAGATGGTGGTATTGTGAAGAAAGGGGATATGGTATCGTATCTGCCATATGCAATGGGGAGGATGAAATTCGTATGGGGTGACGACGCACTCGAGTTTAAGCCAGAAAGGTGGCTTGATGACAATGGTTGCTTCCGTCCAGAGAGCCCCTTCAAATTTACCGCATTTCAGGTTAGTGTGTTTCAATTTCGTAAGAAAAAGTTACGACTTTGGATATGAAAGGCATACTAATATTGTAACATCGATGTGGTGGAATTTTTAACTATTTTTGCCAACATATCCGTGATTACCTTTCCTTCTTTTCATATCACATCCACAATACATTTATTTATTTAGAATTTAATATATTAACACATCATCCTTCTACTCTTCGATCTTCATACAAGTTTACAATAATTTTCCTATAATGCAATGAATTTTACAAAGATCAATGATATATATATATATATATATATATATATATATATATATATATATATATATATTAAAAAAAATTGATTCAATAGTTTAATGGTTATAGAACTTCATATTCATTGAACTATTGTATTATGTATTAATTTTTTCAAATAGCATTTAGTCAACAAAGAATATATGTTTATAAAAACAAATCTGTAATAGAAAATATTTGCATTTTTTTTTCAATAATTGACATTAAATTAACACTTAATTAACAAAAAGTGGTTTATACAAATCGTTTCTTACATAATAACACATTTAGCAATAAACCATTGTATCTAATATAAAACTACGTCTTTTAAAAACATACTGAAATAGTAAAAAAAAAAATGTTTGTCCGTCATCCTATTGAAGGTGCCTTAGCAAAAAAACCTTTTTGGTTGAAATGACGTGTAGTAAGATATGTTAATTGGTAAAACCATTTTTTTCAACATCCATGCATCCAATAACATATTTGTAATAAAATATGCTGATTTATAGAAAAATTTCTATAATGTAAATTTCAGCAAATATATTACATAAATATTTTTTGCATGTATCAAATTAAAGGTAACTTATT